TTGGTTTTTTTTCTGTTGACAGTTGGCCTTTTTATTTTGAGAGCTTTGTGACATTTTACTTAAGCTACCCAAAAGGAAAAGATCTGGAGCATGAGATGAAGGAATTGGTTAAGCAGCATTTATATTCTGCTGTCAGCTGCGATGGAAAAAGGCTGGATGGACAACTTCATGAGGTTCACCTGGGCCCACGTCTCTGGCTTGTCCAGGTCCCTTTGGATGGCATCACATTCCTCTGGCATATCGACCGCACCACCCAGCTTGGTGTCATCAGCAAATCTGCTGAGGGTGCTCTCAATGCCACTGTCAATATTGTTAATGACAATATTAAACAACACCGGGCCCAGCACTGACCCCTGAGGGACACTACTTGTAACTGTTTTCTATCTGGACTTAGAGCCATTGCCCACTACTCTCTGGATGTGACCATCCAGCCAGTTTCTTATCCACTGAACAGTCCACCCATCAAACCCATATCTCTGCATCTTAGTGAGAAGGATGTGTGGGTGACTGTGTCAGAAGCATTGCAGAAGATGCAGAAAATGACTCTTTACTGCCTCACCTCCTTCTTTCCTAAAAGTTCCTGTAAGTGTCTTTTTCAAAATGCAACACATATGGATCAAAAGGGTCCTCCTTTTGGGGGGCAAATACACAGAGACTGGAAAGAATGACTACAAGATTCTCATTTAGCACTTCCCTCACATAGTTAACAGCATAGGAGACTGCAGAGTGAACCCCTAACCTAGACAGACCTCCCTTTCGTGCTGTGCTACCATGTAGAATTCACTGATAAGATTCCGTAATCATTATCTGAAATTGCAGTTACTTTCTAGATATTCTCTGCTTGACCTCAAACTACTGAGCTTCTTTCTCTGATTCCTCAAGCTTTCAATTTATTTCGCTTGTAGCACTATATGTATTTATAGTTTGACGATTAGGAACTGTTTCAAACTTTCCACTCTAGTATGTCTTGGCCGAATTTGTAAAATATTAAATTTCCCCTTATCTTTGAGCTAAATCACCTTCTCCATGTAAAAAATTAACCCCCAAATTAATTTTATCTCTTTTGTTGATGCTTTGTCTATGGTTGACTCAGCATTTACCAAATCCATTTTTTGACTTGCAAGCCGCTGAACAAAAAGTTCTTTCTGATTATATAGGATTTTTGAAGTGAAATAATATTTTCTGTTTACTTATTTGCATATAAATACTGAAGATGCTCTCACAGTCCTCCAGCTAATTCAGACATCTGTAGGGGCTTAAACTCTGGAATGAAGTGTGAATTTACTCAGTTTCATTCAAGAAGGTTCACAGGAATGCAATGGCAGCACATTCTAGTTAAAGCAAGGCTCAGGTTTTGGTCTATTTTGTGCAAATGATAAAGTTTAATTTTAGAAAGATTGCTTCCCCTATTACCATACACAACGGAAAAATAAAAGAGAGAAAAACTCTGAGAATATTTTAACTCTATTCAGATCCCAAGCCATCTCACCAGTGAGCTGACTGCTCATTCTTTCACTTGTTAGGTCACGTAACTATATGACGTTTAAAATAGTTGCTTAAAGATTAAAACATCTAAGAAGTTACAGTTCCTCTATTACAGTGAGTTCATTTAATATTGCTTGTGAAAAATGCTACAGCAGTTTAATGATAGGTCTTAATATATTCCAATTATCTTTTGTTCACTTCAATTTATGAACACTGGAGCTGAAATAATCAGCCCTTTTGCTCCTCAGACTTCCAAAATTATATTTCCATGATTATTGTACAAGTAATCTTTTTTGCATCCATCACATATACTAATTGCCATCATCTATTTTTATGATAAGGAATGGTATTAGCAGACAATTAAGGATAAGATCATTAGTTTCTCTGAACTGTTTTGGCACAAAAAAGTAGTTCACTGAATAAAATTTTCTTCTGAGTAAATGTATAAAGCAAAATGTTGAAAACAGATACACTTAATTCTGAAAAATGTACATCTACAAAAGGGATATGCTCTGTACACATTTGCCCAAATAATAACTGAAAAACCCCACCCTTGGGATTTGTACCATTTATTATAGATTAATAGATCTCATCCTGTCTACTTTTGTGGCCCAAGTGTCTGATAACGTCTCAACAGCACGGAGGAAGAGAATTTACTTTCAAGATGTGTGCACTGAAAATATGACAGTGTGCATGAAAATCAATGCTTTACATTCATTCCTTCTGTTGGAATAGTTCAACAGATAATGACAGTGCATACATATGCCAGATGTAAAACAAAGACGATGACAGCACAACAGGCTTTTTTCAAAATATATAAGATAAACATACAATTTCTACCATTTTACCATCTTCAGACTTCCAAAAAAAAGCATGGGCAAACTGCTTTAAGGGTTCTTTCCAGCAACAATCACTGGTTTGTGCCACAGACTCTTTTCATTGCTGATAGACTAAGAATTTCTGTGCATTGCACTATGACTAGCTGGCAAATCATGAAAAGCAATGAGAAACTGACTTTCTTTAAAGTCTACGCTTGCATTTTGAAAGTTTTGTCAGATAAAGAAAGAATTTTATTTCTATCATGAAGGAATGCTCAAAGGCATGAGGCAATCCTTCCTCTAAGAGTCAGCAGGAGAACTAGTCTTCACATACAAATGCTGGAATTAGGTTACCTACATTTTTAGAGTCATATAATGGGGTGACAACCTGATATATCTACAGCTGAAGCTGCCTTTACAAACAGGGATTTGCTATCTGGAAACATCACTGGGGCTCTCTAAATATTATTAGGGAGGTAATTAGTAGATTTTTACTAAAAATAATATATACTGTATTTTTTAATATATATATATATTTGTAGACAGTTGGCAGTTACAAAAGGATTACAGCCAAACCATTTTATAATGGTACTTAACTGCACAAAACTGTTTCTCCATCTCAACAAAGAAATAGTTTGACTGGAACATAAAGGAGAGGAAGACACCTCCCTAGTTCACCAAAACTTACTAATGATACTGAACGTACCACACTCATCTCCTCAGATTGATAAAGCTTTTCTTGTCCTCTTCTTTATACAGATCAAATATTCACCAATTATAAGAGAGTTTTTATTTTCACAGTCTTGGTTCCCCACTTTGTATAATGTTTATTCCTGTCTATCTTTTTCTTTTCCTATTTATATGAAAATTAATGAATCTAAATGTCTGTTCTGTTGGGATAGTACCTCTCTAATACTCGGTAGCTTATGAAGCAGTACCTTTTGTTCTCTCAAGGCACTCCTGTTGAAAATGTAGCAGAATTATTTAATGCTTTTTTATGCCTGAGGACTGCAGATTACTTCAAGGACACAATGTGCATTTATCTACTAAATTCAAGAAATATGGCAGTAATGGTAGTTAAGAGTCAATTTCCTGTTCAGCTACATTAATGTACACATTCCTTTTTAAACTGCATATGGCTTAAGGCTAATTTACTTGTTAGTTAAGAGTTCTATAGAATTTTTTTTTTTAATTATCTTTCACCAACAACCTCTTAAGGAAAAGTCATTTTTTTTTTGATGCAGACTAGATTAATCACAGGCACAAAGTGAGTAAATTCTGGAATAAATTGTAAAATCATCCTAAATTGCATGTTTTCACATTTAAAAGACTATCACTCACTTCAGTCAGAAATCAGATCTTTTTTAATAGAAATGGATATTTACACATGATCTGAGATTTAAACTAAAAATGAATGATGATGGCTCATAATTGTAGGACAGTTAAGATCATCTTCATGAAAACACTTCTATAGATACTGGAACTTGGAAGAAAAGAATAAACAACTGAGTTAATAAACTGCAGAGGTATTTTGATCTGAAAGAGATCTGTGTCACCTTGCAAAGAACATTACAGTCCTAAACATCGAAAGGGCTAATACATATGTATGCAATATTCAGATGTACAAATACTAGACTGCAGACTTTCTCAATCCCTACAGGTAGAGATGTTACAAAAAAAAAAAAAATTAAAAAAAAAAATAAAATTATTCCACATTCTTACTAATGTATTTTGAATGAGGAAAATAGATTTTCACTTAAGAAACCTTGGAGAGATCTTGACAAGGTTTCTGCTTTATGCCTGTATTAAGTGTTGTCCTCTTTTCCTGATACTCTCTTTCTCTGTCCCGTATGTCTTTTCTATTCCAGCTGGTGACTTTGTTACATACTTCCATACTTAGAGTAGTTCTATCACAGCCCGAACTTTTCTGTTCTTTGGACAAAGACAATCCTACATTCACTGAAAGAAATAACTAAGGGCCCACAAATTTACAGTTTCCTGGCACAGATTACAATATAAACCATTTTAACATCACATATTCACCACACATGAAATAAGACAAATTTTATTCATACACCTAAAGCAAATTTATACTACATGGTCAGTCATGATTTGTTTTAAAAACATAGATCCTGATGAATAAAACAGGTAAAAAGAACTGAATAAGCAGGAGAAGCCAGTTTGCAAAGAGTTAAGTAATGTATCACAATTCCTTTTAAAAGTCCAAAATTGTTCTTTTTTTCTAGTCTGTTAATCAAGAAAATAACTCTAATTCAACTTACATGTAATACAATACAGCAAATACTACATATAGCACCTGCTCTGAGCAGTAGAGGAAATTAGGAAGTAGTATTTTTAAATGTTTATGCTCCTAAAATGGCAAATTATTTGAATATTGCAGTTATCAATTCCTCAAGAAAACTCTAGGTGATATTACATGTCAATTTAAGTGCACAGATCAGTGGAGCTTTGGAACATTTGATGAGATAAGGAAGAAAATCTCTAATAAATGTTATTCTGATAACTAGCTCATTTTCAAGAAGACTCAAATTTAGTTTGTTTATGAGGAAGAGTGTTGCAAAGCAATATTGAAGTAGGTGGTGGGTTCTCAGAGCTTCAAGTTTTTAAAATTATATTTTCTTTGGAGACAACGTAGTAGTTAATTTGAAATTTAATTATAATTCAGCTAAAACTTACCTTATATGGGTAATTATGAGGGTTGTAGCTGGAATGAAAAAGTCATCCACTCTGTCAAACTGCTTTCCCACTGGCTGAGTATGGATAGTGTGATGAGCAACACTCCCACTGGCTTGCGTTATCACCTACATAAAGTAACATTGTTATACACTATAGAAATAGTCTTTCAAAATTTAATCTCTAGACAAATAAACTGAATACAGTATTGCCTCTGTATTCCATCTCTTGTAGTATTCTTCATTACTGAGAATTACCAAGAAAAACAACACAAATGAAACTGAATAAAGCTGATTTGTATTACAGATTTCATAAAACTGCTACATACCTGAGCACTTTATTTTCATATTTACTTTTTTCCTCCTTTTTTTCCCACCACTGAATCCATATTTATTCATTTACATTACTAAAGCTTCTAGCAGTTCCTAGTGCAAACTAAGGGGTTTTTAACACTAGATTCTAGAATGAGATTAAATTTCTTGAGCACTTTAGCCAGAGTGAAAAGATGTTATCAAATGATCCACAAGAAGCTACGGCCATGCATACTCCCAGTTCTTGCCAATCATGAGGTAATTCAACAACAGACACATTTCAGAAGAGCTATATAAGTTTACATTTCTAAGATTGTTATGAACTGTTTTGGTTTGAATCCCCAAATCTTGGACCTTCTCTGAGGTAAATGTTTACGGGTACATAAAAGATAATTTCACAAAATAGTCACTATGATTTTCACATACATGCATTTCAGAGCAGACTAAAAAAAGGAAAATAATCTCATCTGTACTGCAAGGAAAAGTGAGAGTAAAGATGAACAGTTGCTTTAAAACATGCTGATACTGACTCAATTATCAGTCATTTTCTGGGGAGAAGTGACAGTTAAACTCCCACAAATTGCCTTGCATACTCATAGTTGCTAAGTGTCTGTAGATGCCAAAAAGGTGTTTTCAAAAATGTTAATAAATTTTCTGCTTGAGCTCTGAATTTCTCTTATTCTTTATCCTATATACACATATTTTTTTAATACATAAGGATTTTAATAACTTCAAAAAGTAAAGGAAAGTAAGTAAAAATAAAAAGTAATTTTGAAATAATGACATAAAGTTGATCACCATATTCTCAGGGGGTTACTTTAAATAAGGAACAGAAAGTAATTACAAAGTACAAGTCCAGCTTCTTGAAATATTTCTATAGTGACTATCCCTAGGCTTGCCACTGCTCAGAGGCACAGGAAAAGTAAAGATTGTTAATATTTTACATCTAAAAAGAGCAGTAAGATGGAGCTTGTCACCCCCGGAGCATCAATACAATTTTAGTGAAATAGAATACAAGCCAGCTTATCATCCAATTTGGGAAAAAAGCATCAGAAACAGCACAAGTTTGCTTTTAAAAGACTGGCAGTTATAAAACACGCTGCTGCTTTCAGCTGTATTTCTTATCCTTCTGTCGGTCCAGAATTATCACTTTTGAGTAAGGGTGTCGAAAATAATCTCTATTTTAGCAAAATCAGTTGTCTGAATTGGTTTCCAGTTACCTGAAATAATTTCAATGCCCCGGTTGAGGTCATTATAATAGTGCATAAAGGAAAATATAAAAAAAATGTTACAATTACACAGAAGTTCATCTTGTCTAGATTTCCTTGCATATACTCATTCTGACCACCTCACCTGCAATGTTGGAGAATTCTTTTCCATGTTTCCCCAGCTCAGCACCCAAACTTGATCATGTGATTTATCATAGTGTAATTTCACTGGAACAGGATCTGTACTTACTGCCTGAAGATAATGAAAATAGAAATTCTTAGTTTCTGTCACATTTTCCAAAGAAAAATGATACATATGCTTGAATTAGAATGCTGACTGGACGTGCACTTCCTGATGTTTTCAGATTGCATTTAAAAATTACGTTCTTCATTGTTGAAACAGCCCTCTGATTAATTCAAGGCTACTGAATTGCTGAAAAAGTTATTAATTCTGTGCTCTAACAACTGGCATCAAAATTACATTATAGAGAAGTTATTAAGAAGCTGAAAAAAAAGTTTTTAAATAAAATTAAAAATTGCTTATCTTCCTTCCCTCTCACCATTCTCACTTCATATAGATCAGTTTGAAAACTACAACACTTACTGGAAAATGGCTAAAAAGGGAAGAGTATTCTCAACCCACATAATGAAATCAACGTAAGGTGTTACTACACATTCCTGAATAAAACACTCAAACCTTCATATGTCTGTTAAACTGGGAATATTCTGTTCAAGTTAGAAAGGTTGATTTCATGTTTTCCAATTATATTTGCTACTTCTGGTAGACCTGTGATCAGAATCAAAGTGTTTTCCCTGCAACCTTGAGCACTATCTCTTGAGACAACAAACCTTTTTAGACAGTTAAGCTCTACACTTCCTTTGTCATGAGGAGAATTGAAGATTTCAGAGGTACGAACTGGGAGGACATCATATTTGATTAAGAGACATTCTGCATGAGGTAAACAACTGTGGAGATTACTTTTCTATTTTCATCATTAAAGCAGAAAAAAATATTGGATATTGTTTTTAAGTCTCACCATTATGGAACTGTAAAGCACAGCTGGTTTATCAGTTTGTCAAGAAGAGTACCAGCTGGCTAATTAAGTGAACCTAATTTAAACTAATCATGTAGATCCTCAAGATAATGCACTAATGGCTGGCTCAGACTGGTGATGATACTTAAACTGTGCTCCTGAGGTGTTGTAAGCCACAGTTTCATCAAAGCAGAATTTGTTTTTCCTTTTGAAAGCAGACAATAAAGCCAGGTTGCTCACTGGTTCATTTACAACCAAAAAGATACCCCTTGAAAAAGGTCATTCATGTTTGATAACTTTTTTTTTTTTTTTTTTTTTTTTTTTTTGCTGCGGGCTAGAAAATAAGTTGTCTAATATAATACTTGGGCTGCTCTATAGCTAATCTGTTCAGGTGTGTCAAATTTCCATTTCAGCATAGTTACACAACAAAAAGCCCTTTCAGATACGCTTTTAGCTGTCTGTAAGTTTTTTGCACCTTTATAAAATTTTTGTTAGAATGATGCTCATGTTCAAAATATGAAGTATTCTCCACATTTGGTCCTACCAGAGTATGTATTTTTGAAAATTTGGTTTGAGAGAGCAGATATGTGGCTTTCTTTTGGCAGACTAGAAAAACTTAAAATGTAAATAAATATCCTCTATATTAATATGACATTTAGAGAAAAGGCAATCTAATAAGCAAAATGCTCTCATTTATGAACAGCTTAGTATCTAGTTACCAAAAATAAATTAATTTATTTTTTTTCTGTACTAGGCAGTACTGTAAACAATGAAAATAAACTGATCTGCCTGAGAAATTAAACTCCCTGTTTGTATGTGTTTGTGTCCATGCTTATACGAGCATTTAATATTTAGAAAAATTCCTGCTGCTTGCAAGAAACAAAACCAAAAATAAATTCTTATTATTAAAAGATAAGGAAGAGAGGGCTGTGTTTGTTAGAAGAAATACTCAACAAAGTTATTTCTTGACTTGTCACTAGATTCCAAAGTAGCCTTCTTTCAATTCTAAAAGCCATCTGTGAACCAAGAGGGGTTTTATTTTTTATAACTGTATACTATGCGTAAAACATTGCACAGATTTTGTGCTTTCATGATTTGTTTGTACTTTTTCCTTGTCTTTCTTTTTTTTTTTTTTTTTTTTTAGTTTTTATGTTTGTTTGTTTGGGTTTTTTTTTAATACTAACATGGTTAAGCAGGACACAGAGGAAGCCCCATAATACTTTTCCATGCATTTGCCTAATTGTATCCCAGTAAATTATTTTCAGGTCAGTAACAAATAGCAGAAATTCTGCTCAGGTGCCCAAAAGTGACAATAACACATTTTATTTAATTTATTTAACTGATTCATCTCTTACCCCTTATACATAATGTCTTACCAATAGTCTGTATTGAGTATAGAGACTAAAAGATAATTTATCATTTATATCTAAACATTTTAGAACCTTATCACTCTCTTCAACTACCTGAAGGGAAGTTGTAGTCAGGTGGGAGCTGGGCTCTTTTCCAGGCAACTAGCAACAAGACAAGAGGGCATGGCCTCAAGCTGCTCCAGGGGACATTTAGGTTGGATATTAGGAAGTACTTCCTCATGGAGAGGGTGATTAGACATTGGAATGGATTGCCCAGGGAAGTGGTGGAGGCACCGTCCCTGGAGGTGTTCAAGGAAAGGCTGGATGTGGCACTTATTGTCGGTCTAGCTGATGTGGTGGTGTTGGTCATAAACTGGACCTGATGGTCTTTTCCAGCCTTGGTAATTCTGTGTGATTCTGTGAAAACTGAGACTTTCACTCTTACTGCAAAGGGTTTCCACAGATGGAATAAATCTCATTCCATACTTCCTTCTATTCACTATCTGGATATTATTAAAGTAATTGAAAAGCAATGCTATTCTGTCACTAATAATTTCTTTGAAAGTGGAAGGATTTTTTTCCAGGTCTAGCATGAAGGCTTGTAGAGTATCTGGTTTTAGCTCAATATATTTGCTAAGGAGCACAGACTTAGTGCACAAAGATTTGTCTAACACCTAGTCATCCTGTATGTCTGTTTTTTCAGCTAATTACAGAATCTAGAAAATCTATGTGACAGAACAGCAACCTAGCTAACTCCATCCAAAAACTGGATAGTTGCTTTACATATTTCTAGGGGAGAGGATGTATTTCCAATTAGCAGCTAATTTATTGAATTTTATTTTTTAATTAGTACACATCATAGTGATAAGTGTCTCTAAACACTTGGTTAATGGTGAAGTATTTTGTAAAATGAAAACTTTGTAACAGAAGGAAAATTATTCCATAAATCCTGAATTGAAAAGAAACTTCAGCTTCTGTAATGCTTTTCAGTGAGCTCAAAAGGCATAATATGCTCTTGCCACTGAAGTCTAACTGCTAATAAATGCACTTAAATTTGTATTCGATCCACAAACTGTAGGAAAGCAAGATGATACATGAACATCAGCCAGAGACCCGGGAAACCACTGCTAGATATCACGGTTCTTCAAATCTGTGAATTGCAGTAAGATTTTTAATCCTTCTTCCTAAGAAATATATTGTATTGGCTGTAAAAATGTCTTCTTTTAAAAAAAACAAAAATTCTTTATATACTCAGTTCATCTCTACTTTGATATGCAAAGTTCAATTTAATTAAAAAAGTAATATAACAAAAAAAATTTATTAACTTTTTGAATACAACATTTTATCAGGAATTTTAGGGAAGCTATGTCTGTTGAGCCAGCTGACGCAGAATTCAGAAGACAGAAAATGCAGATGTTTCAAGAATACAAATATATTAAAATTATTTATCAAGGTAATGTAATTTTAAAATTGAAACATAGTTAGGATTGGAAGGGACCTTTAAAGGTCTTCTAGACCAACACCCCTGCAGTTAGCAGGGACATCTTCCACTACACATCAGGTTTCTCAGAGCGCCATCTAACCTGGCCTTGAACATTTCCAGAGATGTAGGGCATCTACCACCTCTGTGGGCAACATGTTTCAGAGTTTCACCACCATTATTATAAAAAATTTGTTCTTAACAACTAGTCTAAATCTACCCTCTCTTATTTGAAAGCCATCACTACAGATCTTACCAAAAAATCCATCCCCATCTTTCTTATAAGCCCCTTTTAAGTACTGCAAGGCTGCAATACAGTTTCCCTAGATCCTAGTAAAATATATGAACTACACATTAAAGACTTTACCAGTGAAAAAGGCATGAAGAGAAGTTCTGTTTAAATATTTTATTAACAGTTTAGATTAGTTTTCTAATTAAAATCCCTATGTTTTATGTAGCTAAAGAACATCTGTTTCCTAAGAATGTGCTACTACAAGTCATGCTGTAGATGTTAGGCATGTTTCTATGACTGAAATTTGAATTAGAACACCCTGTGTGGTGTCAAAAGCTCTTTAACAATTTCACATACAAGTGCCCTTTCTTCTGAGAATGAGAGCAGGGTTGTTAACAAGCTATTAACTAGCTTCAGAGCTCTTTGCCCAGGGAAAAAAAATATTTCAGGAAAAGAAGCTTTTAAAGTAAATGTCAAGATTTTGTATGATCTGTAAGTACATTAATTTTTTATGTCCAAATTAGATATTAACTGAAAAATAATAAATAATAAATACCTGTACAACTTTCTGAGACTGTACATCAACAATAAGAACTCTGTCAAGTGTGGGCTGAGTTACATAAATGAACTTGTCTTTTACATTAACAGCAGTTGCCCATACACACCGCTGAACTGGATCTCCATCTGCTTTAGGACAAACTTCATCCTATAATTCAACAGAAGCCAGGAAAATATAAGAACAAAAACAGTCAATAACACAACAGAAAGAAAAATGACACTCTTTTTCTTCTTTTTAAAAGAAAATAAAATAAATAAATATAAAATATAAACTCAGAAAATTTAGAGAAGAAAAAAGGACAGGCAACATCAGGATCCAGACTAATCCAAACTGTGTGTTGTATGCATTACACAACACACAAACACTTCAGCATAAACCATACACCAACTTTTCTGGAAGTTTTCTATGTATTCAGGCAGTTAGCACTGTTGTCTTGAGAAAGAAACTCATTTGGAACAATATGTGTGGAAATAAAGTGAACATGAGCCAGGAGACCTCAGACATGCATCTGAGAACACAGCAGTAGGGCAGTTAAATCCTAAACTGGAAAGATGATAATGTATAAATAGAGAGGAAGAGAAGATGTGGTGCAAGTTGTCACATGGCATAGGGGCAAAGCAGTGTTTCTGGTCACATGGAACACTGGTATGTTGTTTCAAAGGTCAAGAACTTTGGCCTCTTCTGCTGTAACACATTCTCATGGCCCATCAAAACAAATAAAATCAAATGTCTTTCTACTGTCTTTCATTTCCTCTCTTCCTCTCTATCCCTGAAAAAGGATAAATCTGAAATAAAAGCAAAACTCCTATTGCCTTGAGTGAATTCATGTTTCATATGAATATTTCATAATAAATATATTTATAACTATGCACTCTTACTCAAAACATCGTTTACATGCTCACTATTTCTCTTTTCATATAAATACATTCCCATATCATATATCTATTTATATTTTTATATATTTGTAATTATTAGCTCCCAGTGATAGCTTGCTTTTATGAAAATGTAAAGTTACTTGCTCAAATATGCTACCATATTTGAAAATTCCCCTTATGAAATAGCATTTTTCCTATAATTTATTTAAAAATGAGGACCTGAAAGAATATTCTGCGTCAAGACAAACTGCATATACCAAGTTTTATTGTTTTCCTGACTTATTTGTCTTTACTTCAAACAGAATGAAATTCTAATTGGTTCCCATGTTAGACACACACTAGAATGCTTTGCTGTATTGACACTTAGTTGTATAAGAAGCAATTAAATATTTAGATAAGGGTTCTCAAGAATACAGTTGTTGAGAAATTGTATTTACCTTTACCAAAATTAGCATACCTGAATATATACATATGTAACTACTGTGACATTCATTCACAATACAATGCAACACCATATAGAAAAATCTGATTTCAGTCTTTCACAGGAGCTCAGCATTGGCAATTTATTTTGGCGGCAGTCCAACAGGAAACCTGGGGAGGGACACTGCAGTACCATGTGTAATATCCAGACATTTTCTGTAACACTTCCAGTACCTAAACTGCACTGCAGAATTTAGAAAAGATCTTGTACTTTAGCAAAAATGAGTCTATGAAATGAGTCTACTGGGGCTTTACTTACCACTCGGACAGCTAATTCAGAAAAGTGTAATGTTACTAGATGAGTGATGGAGATTTTATTAGTGATAGCGGCCGTCAGTGAGAAAGGCTATGTAAAGCCACCTCAAAGCATGCAGTATACCAACATGTCTATTTAGTAGAGTTACATGAACAGAGTCAAAGAGAATGATGAGTAATTTAGGACTTGAACTCTTACCACTAAACAATCACATGCTGATCTTGATAAAAAACTGAGCCTGGGACAGAACTTGGCTATTTTATTAATTTTACTTTGAGAAAACAAAGAGGCTTTTTTTCCAAAGAGGCTTGAAGAAGAGACTATATTCTTCAAAGAAGAATAAAGCTTTATGTCTAAAGCTTCATAGAATTTTTTTTAAAGAATACATTACTGTTGTTATAGTAGTAACAAGCTATGCAGGGAATTCTTTCAAACTTGTGTGTCATTTTTTTTCTAGGAGGAAAGTAATTTAAAAGGGTTTTCTGAAAACTTCAAAATTTTTTACTGAGTAAAAAAACTGGTATAAAATTATGTTGTATGCTTGTTTAGGATTTTTTGGTTTGTTTTTATTTAAAGCAGAGTGAACAACAATGCCTCTATGAGTGGAGAATCATAGAATCCTTAAGGTTGGAAGGGATATTAAGTATCATCTAGTTCCAACCCCCCTGCCATGAGCATCATTAAGGCTAAAATCATTAAGGATAAAATCATTCAAGATGCATTTTCCAAATAATTCTGATATCTCTTCCTGGCATAAGAATTTCTTAACCATCACATGTGATGGAAGGTGTTTCCACAGTGTTCAGTTGAATTTCATGGGCAAAATGACATGTATAAAGCTGAATTTCTGAATATATACTTATCACACCTACCCACAAACCAAAGATCACAGAATCACAGAATCCTAGGGCTTGGAAGTGACCTTGAAAGATCATCTAGTCCAACCCCCCTGCCAGAGCAGGATCACCTAGAGCACATCACACAGGAACACGTCCAGGCGAGTTTTGAACGTCTCTAGCGAAGGAGACTCCACAACCTCTCTGGGCAGCCTGTTCCAGTGCTCTGTCACTCTCACAGTAAAGGAGTTCTTCCTGATATTCACATGGAACCTCCTATGCTGCAGTTTGCATCCATTTCCCCTTGTCCTATCACTGGACATCACTGAAAAAAGCCTGGCTCCATCTTTCTGACACTCACCCTTTACATATTTGTAAACACTGATGAGGTTGCCCCTCAGTCTCCTCTTCTCCAAGCTAAAGAGACCCAGGTCCTTCAGCCTTCCCCCATAAGGGAGATGTTCCACTCCCTTCATCATCTTTGTAGCTCTGTGCTGGACTCTTTTGAGCAGTTCCCTATCCTTCTTGAACTGAGGGGCCCAGAACTGATATCTGAAGATGGACAAGTACACCTACTTTAAAACGGAAGTCATAGAGCAGCATGCTTTTCTGGTGTCTCTTTCCGCCCCTACCCCCCCACCCCACCTTCTGTGGGGGGAAGAATATAATTATTATGTTATTTTAGGTTTTAAAGCTACCAAAAGGAAATTAGTTTGTCTTATCCATCCTGATTATAACCACATTTCAATAAAAATACACTTAAAATCTAGGCTGCACTTTAAACCAATAAAATTGTTACAGACTTCTTAAATAATCAGCTTTTGAACTAAACAGCCATAAAAAAGCTCTTTGGCTTATTTTTGGCTGTGTCAACCTAATTTCACTTAAGCAGCACAAATCAAGGTATGATTAGCTGTTCAAAGCATAATTATTCACACTAAAATAAATCTTGCTGCAGAGTATAGCAGCCTTTGACATCAATAATAACTGAAGAGGCAAATTCCACTGAGACAGTTCTTCTGTTATTTAAGTGTGCTTTACGTATTAGGGAAAAAAGTTGAAGTGTACAGCTCATGGATTATTATATATTTCAAGGTCACTCATTCAAGCCCAAATAATGAGAAAAAGTTATTATTTTTGAAAGGTGATAGATCATATGGAACAAGTCTTAATGTAGTGACTAGTACCAAGAGTTCCTGTGAGAACATGCATCATCTCAGCCAGCAATTTGATTAGCAGTAAAGGAAAAACAAAGAATAAATGGAAGTGGAGAATACTCTACTGGTTTTTATGTATTCTGCAAATGGAAACTACTACATATATGCACAGAGTTTGGTGAAATCAGCTATAAATCTGTTAATAATAAAGTTATTGAAACTACTTATATGAATTGTAAGTTGGAGTCAAAGGCATCAATCATCTCTACTAACTTCAGAGGAGCTGTAAGAGTGTGTACCAGGACAGGGATTTGCCTCATAATAGCTGACAGTATAATATAGACAAACATCCAGTGGAGAAAAATAAACCATTAAAAATAATAACATTAGGTTGTATATTAAATAGAAAGAGAACAAATCCTTGATTTAGTGAGATACAATCAAGGTGGAGAGGAGAAAAAAGCAACAACAAATAAGCCAGAAGAGTAGAGAGCTGTTAATGGAAAGGAGTGGGAAAAAAGAAAAGCAGCCAAAGAAAATGAAAGGTTTGAAAAGTATAAAAGGAATATTCAGTCTAAAAGAAATATGGAAAGTTTGAATTTGAGTAAGGAAAATACAAGAAATTTTGAGTCCACCATTATAAGCTACTTATTAATTAAGAAGACATGGCTGAATTTATCAAGCAGAAAACACTAAACTAACAATATAAATTCTTATTTAAAGAACACTATAATTGACAACACACTATAAATTAATTTCAAAAAAATAACTTGCCTGAAAACCGAGGAGTTTTTCACTAGGCTTAATATGTCTCTGAAATTCACATTCCACCGGTTGTATTACTTTGATGCCATCTTCATAAAAAACATAAAACATGTTCCCAATTCCCAGACCTTAGGAACAAAACCACATTGAAATGTATAAAATATAAGAATGACAAAAAAGGAAATCCTGTCTTGAATGAAAAACCTCATGATATTTTTGGTATGAGATCAATTTGTTAATGTGTATAGAGCTAATACAGCTAATCCTATGGGATCTTTTTTTATAAAACTAAAATCAAACTGTTACGTTATTCAGAATTAATTTCCCAGTTTTCTCCATTAGCAAGATGGTGTCTTTATGAATACAGATCTAGAAATATGTATTTTGGCAGCTGCAATAATGAATGTGAACTTGTGAAATCACCTACATTGAAATCAAAGTAATATAAATTCTCCATATACTCTTTTCTTTTTCTTAAGGGTGGAAGAATTAAAGTAATTTTTGTATAACATTGAAAGAGAAGTTCTGAATCTCTGTGATAAACTCTTATTTGACATTTCTTTCAGTCAGAAAACATTCTCTATTGTATTTTATTGGAAAGCCATTGTTGGGCAGATATTCATTTTGAAGTGTGAAGGGCCACAAATGTTCATGGAACTATTCAATCCTTCTTTTGTAATGTGGCTGAATGAGAGGCATGACACAATGTTTTGTGAAGAAGGTGGGAACAAGATCTGTAGAATGAAGTCTCATAATATCTGTGGTCATGCTCATGACCACAAAAAAGGACATTCTCCTTAGTTTACCGTGTGACAACAGTTGTTGCTTTGCTATGTGCATGCTGTGATAGATGATCAGTTCCTGTTTGTAAAATTCTAGGAAGAACATCATAGTTCTCATAAAATTACAATTATAACCACTTCCAACAGCCAAACTGTGGGCTACAATGATAAAGATATATACCTATCCTGGGTACAGGGCCCAAGCTTCCACTTTACATAACAATGTTTGGTATAAGAACATGAAAATAAAAACCCAGGAAAAAAAATTCAGTCTGAAATTCTGCTCATCCTAAATTCTGAAGGAAAACCTATGTTGATAGAGAACACTTCGTAATATAAAATATGATAATGATAACATTAAAGGAGGCAGAGAAGTGTGTGTTTGTGTATAGACGTATGTATGCACAAACAAACATTAAAGTTCACAGTTGCTTTTAGGAATTGCATGGGTAATAGTCATTTAAGAGACAGTAACATGGATAAGGTTGCCAGGTCATGCCTAGAGCAAGTTATCTTTGAGAAATCTTCAGAAGCATCTCCCACTTCTGGTCAAGTTTTCCTAAAAAGAAAGGACAGTCTCCAAGCAGAGTTCTCCTCGTTTTAATCTATCAATAGGTTACAAAAAAGTGGGAGAGGAATTTGTGTATGCTGCATTTGGTGTAGGATAGAAGCAGGGTCAGATTCAAGGATAACTTAGCAATCAGGTCTACTGAGCAAAGGGTGCACCAAGGTCAATATGCCCAGTCTGGCCAATGGGATACTTCTGTATGCCTTTGCAGGTAAATCATACAGCCTGTGTAATATAATTTGTCAAGGTCTTCCTTTAAAAAACGCCTTACATTGCATTGTAGAAGAACAGCTGGAATTCACAGATAAGCTTGACTGAGGTTAGGCTGCCCCTACCAGTGATCACAGTGTAGAGATCTATAGCTGAGCAACTGGCTTATCTTGTATCTTGGTGATAAATAAATACGTGGAGCTGGCTGGGGACAAAACAAGGAAACAAGGTTTTCCCTTCTCCGTGGTCTCATTGACTAAAGTACATCATAGTTATTAGCAGGATAAGTAATACCAGAATGTGAGGAAGTAAATCAGCTAATAGCCCCAAGTGATACAGTGATTCAATAAACAGACTTCTAAAACTTCCTCCTCAGTCGCCAATACTCTTGGGCAGGCTTCCCAACTTACAGATAATATTCATGCATATAACCCACCTCAAATCTTTAAGGCTTTATTTTCAATGTCTGGTTACTACTGTTCACGAAACTGTTCTTCAAAATTAGTGGATACACAGTAAGAAATGTCTTTTTTCCACTTTAAAACTGAGTTAGGGAAATCAGTTCATGTAAGGAACCTTTAACGTTTCCCCTTCCAAGTTATTCTGACCTTTGAGCATGTGTCTACAAATATACAAATATCTAATCTGTGCTAATATCTAATCACTTAGCAAGCTGCTTCTTCACAACTACAGAAGCTATTCCTCTAAAGGCACCTGACCTAAATTTGCATCCCTCCCCTCACCAAACAAAAAAAAAGCCAGCACATTTATAATGCAGTGCCAGAAGCAACAATAATAAATGCAAACATATTTGCTTCATTTAGACTGAATCTATATTTAAAACTGGCTAAAAGTGACTGGAAAAAAATGTGGTGGTTTGGGGTTATTTGGGGTTATTTTGCATATAGATTAATATGTGGATATATTCAGACATGTGTATATAGTGTATTATTATTGCAATATAAATTAATGTACCTGCAAAATCCTTTTCAGATTTTCTGACATATACTCTTTTTACACACAAGCAAGCAGCTGTGATAAGGCCTTTGTGTACCCATATACAAACATGCACTGCAGGCATTAAAGCCTACCTATGGTTTCACAATCTTAATTGTCCTACTAGTCGCTCATCCTACCCTTCCCATCAGTTAATGCTTAAGTAACAGAAAATGACAGAGTATGCATGACCCAGAGTAGTTAGTGGTGATGCTTTTGGCATCTTCAGGGCATTGCTCTCTTGTAACTGAATTCTGACATTGAAACCAGTAACAATATTTGTTGGAAACACAAGGATTGGCCAATAAGGAATACAGGAGAGATCAAGAAAATCTGCTGTAGAAGAGAATGCTGTCACTTCACATTCTCAATCTCTACTATATCTTTCTTCTAAAGAACCAAGTGGGTGTCAATTATGCTTTCCAGATAAACCACAAGTGACACCTTCCCAATAAACAGTGAGAAATACCATGTATTTGAAAACCTTGGTGTTGGAATATTCCTGTGCATCGGTTTCTTAACAGTGGAATTGTATGAAATGCTGAACATGTCATTTGTACTCTGTGAGGCCACTAGAGCAGGAGGATCACAGCTGAGCTTCACTATCATCAAGGAACCGCTTGTTCATACCAGCTAAGTAACTGGTAAAATAGGAATATTAAAAATAAAACTAGTTAGCATTTGTAAACACACTGGGAAATGTCAAAGGCTAATATATAATTAGGCAAGTGCAATATAAAATTTTTGAATCTTTACATAAATTTAAAATAAATCTTTGAGAAACATTCAGAAATACCGTTTGCAGAATGAATTAATAGCAAAGCCTGATTCACTTACAGTATTATATATCTTGCAATGGAAGTAATTGAAACATTTGTTATTCCTGAAATACATTAATTCCTAAATTGCAACTTCAAATTAAGAACAGGAAACTTAGAGGAACAAAATGAGAACACATGACAGTACTTCAATTATTATGTTTTTCTGCAATATGCTTTATGAGATTATCTCATATGTATGAAAATTAATGCCTATCTTTGTCAGTAAAATAAAATTTCCATGTTTTCTATGCTAATAACACCTCAACTGTCTGTATTTATATTTATTCTTCAGTTGGTCACAAACAACAAACTCCCAATTCCTCTCCACAATCTTTTCTACGATGAAAATGCTTTGTGCCATTAAACAAAACCAGATACCTCAATTTTAATTAAACTGTTTAAGATTATAATCTTGTCAAATAAGAATGATTGCTACAAGATCAATCACAACAGCATATAGGCTGATAGTTTGGAAACTTTAGCATGCCAGCAAACAAGCAAAAGTAAAAGGTCTACCTTCTTAAAATGTTCTTGTTGTATCCCTTTGAGTAATTGTCTAAAATTTTAGAACAGCTTATTGCCTTCTGTCTCCTCAAAAGGAAAAGTAGTTCACAAAAGTATGAGCACTTAAAGGATTATTTTCCACTATGTTTTTTTCTTTAAATCAAATCCCTCAAATGTTGCAAGGGGGAAGACAACTACTGTAACTGTAGAGTATGAAGAAAACACAGAACTAACACACAAAAGGATCAATAGAGGAACATTTTGTTGTAATATGGGAAATATGAAAGAAGCTATCTGGATTAGTACCTTGCTCTCGCCACAATATGTTTGCAACTGCAGCATGTAAGAGAGAGAAAAAACAGAAAACACAAGTGAACAAGAAAACAACAATAAAATTATCTATCAATTCTGAAATAATTATGATGCTTTAACTTCTGATGCGCTAAAATACTTCTACACATAAATCAATGGAAACAGTGAATAACAATAAGATTAAATAAATTTCTCTGTCATGTGAGAAAATTGTGATTAGCCATCATAGTTATTTGGATTAGGGTAAATCCCATCTCCCCAGTTACACTCCTCCCCAAGTAAACTGCATTAGCCTTTATCAATAGTGTGTTTCATAATCCATTACAAAAAGCATGTGGACTTTGCATACACATAAATTACACAGACTAATAACAGGTGATGTAATTTTCATAATTTCCCTTAAGCACTGGACTTTGAAGAGATTTATTTCAGAACATAGTTAGGAGAGAAATATGCAAAACCAAAACACATACCAGATATTCTGAACTGCTGTAACACAGCCGTGCCACCAAAGTTGTCATGCTGTTTAATGTCTGCTGTTCACTTTGGAAGACCAAGATGGGAATATATGATGGCATGGAAACCAACTCTCACAAATTTTCCCAGAACAGCTACCTTATATGACCTTAGACACAGCGTTTAAAATGTGTCATTCAGTTATCTCTTGATAAAATGAGGGTGGTGATTACTTTTTACCTTCAGTGCTTTGCAGTGTACAAACGAGAGACTGCCATTTGAGTAGAAAGTAGTATTAATACTGTTAAAGTGATACTAAATCCTAGAGTAAAAAAATTCCTCTTTCCCAACACAAAACTACTGGTGCAGCTTTCAAACATGCTCTGCCTCTGTTTTATTATCTTTAAACCAACTGAATCCTCTGGACTACTATGTGTGCATTATTTTCAAATATCATCCCTGCCTTTCATTTAATATTTGAACCACTAGGATCTAATAAACTGCCAAAGACCAAGATTAATGGAGTGTTCCATCTTTTCATTTATTTAGGCTGGGTAGAAAACCTTTACTTCAGGATGCAGAATTTCTGTTGAACTACTGCTAATGTCAAAATTATTTCTCAATCATCCACCTGTATACTTGCTTTTCTGATTTTAGGTTGTTTCTTTCAGAAGAGACTAGCTTTGAATCAAGTCTTAACTGCATTGGCTGAGTATGTGTCCTCCAGACAGCCAGATGCTCTGAATGAAACTTCTTGGTGAATAAATTGCTAACACCAGTATAACTCTCAGATTTGGTTTATTATATATTTCAGTGGCAGAATTATTAAGTGTGTGTGTACTGATCACAGTATTTAACATCTCTTCTAAATAACATGCGGCTATTACATTTAAACTATTTGATTATTCTTCTAAACTAGACCTCTGATTATAAATCGTAATCATGAGATGGAATATTAGTTTATTGTTTTATTGACAGCTCTTATTTTTTAAATAGCGACCTATTCAGTAGATCATCAGTAATGCAACTACAGAAAGAACAGACCAAAAGGTTTAAGAGATCTTGAATTATTTTAGTTTAGACAAGAAGAAAAAGGTGTAGATTTGTATAAAAAGAACATTTAAGAGAGAACTACATCCTTATGACTTTAAAGCTGCAGAATGAAAACAGCTGAAGTTTCCCCATGGCCTGATTTGATCCCCAATGTTATTCCACAACCAAAAGGAGAAGAAATGGGGACAGTATAGTACTGTCCTTCCCATCAACTAAATATGGCACTTTGTGAGCATAAGCAGTTAAGTCTTTCTGTATAAAAGCTGACAACTTCAAAGAGGGAATGCTACAGTGCTTATGTTCGTTTACATTTGTCAAAGCATTAAATCAGTCACTGGTACTTTTGACAGACACTGGGTCTGGAAGTTCAGCCAGTTTTTCAATTCAACACAATGTCTGTGCATCTAGTCTGTACTTCATCAGTTTGCCTTTGAGGATGTCAGGGGAGACTGTCCAAAGGACTTCCTAAGGAAAAGAAAAACAACATCATCTATTCCCCTCATCCACTCTGCCCATCACCTGATGGCAGAAGGCTGTCAGGTTGACTAGGCATTATTTCCTTTGCTGACTTGTCCTGAACACCTTCTTGTTCTTTACGGTTTTGGGAACAGTGTCTAGAGTTATTTGCTCCATGTCCTTCCCAGGGATCAAAGCAAGGCTGATGGGCCTAGCATGTCTTGCAGTCTCCTTGCCCTTCTTTAAGAGTGACACTGGCTTTCTACCAGCCTGCAGAAATCTCCCTTGATCATTATGATCCTTCAAATATTACCAAGAGTGGTCTTGCACGCACCTTGTGCGTGCATCGTCTTCCAGCTCTTTGACCTGTGAACGTCCATTTTGTTTAATCCAGTCTGATCCTACCCACCATGGGTAAGATTTCCTTGCCAGAGGAAGATGTCCTTCCCAGACTTTCCCACTGCTCTCACATTCCTGGAACCAGTTTTGCCAGTAAAGCCTTCAGTAAAACTCAGCCCCTTCCAAGTCCTTTGTCATCAGGTCCCCTCAGCAGCAGGCCCCTATTTCCCCTAGTCTTCTTTTTGCTGCTGAAGTCTCTGTAGAAGCCCATCTCTTGCCCTTTGTATCCCTCACCAGATTCAGCTACAAGTAGGTTTTGGAAATTCTAACTTCATCCATGCATGCCCAGACAGTGGCTCTATATTCAGATGACAGTTCTGTGTTTCTCTATGTCACCTTATATAGTATTTTTTTTTAGTAATAAAGCAAATTAATTTATCCAGGGCAACCCAGATGTTTTTCTTTAAAATTAGTTTTCATACTGTGAGGAAACAACCATGTAATATATGGCACTTGAGGTCCTCTAGACTTAGCCATAAAGTTCTGCTTTTTATCAGTCTTTTTTCTAGGGATGACATAAAAAATAAAACAAGAAGTAATTACAATTATTCAAGTGCATGAAACTACACAGCATCAAATGAAATTATTTAAGATGCTAAGTAATGAACACAGTAATTTATGTTAATGAAAAATTATGTTTGATTCTGAGCTTTGCTCAAAAAAAGGGGAGTTGGGGGGGGATAAAGAATGCTTGAAAAGCCCCACACTTGTTAATTTTTAAATTAACAAATCAGTTTGAAGAAAAATGAGACATTATTTAAGACTGCAATATAAATTCATAAATAACAGCCACCAGTTCAGCTAATACAAACCAAGAAACCTCACATTATTTTAGTCAGTACAATAATTTGTATTCAAGAAAGATTTTAAAAACAGGAAAAAGGAAGTCCCAGAGAACTACAGGCCGGTCAGTCTCACCTCTCTGCCTGGCAAGATCTTGGAGCAGATCCTCCTGGAATGTCTGCTAAGGCACATGGAAGATAAGAAGCTGACTAGGGACAGCCAACATGGCTTCTCTAAGGGCAAGTCATTGCTGACCGATCTGGTGGCCTTCTACAACAAGGCTACAGAGATGGTGGATGGTGGCAAAGCAGCTGACGTCATCTACCTGTATTTGTGCAAGGAGTTTGACACTGTCCCACATGACATCCTGGTCTCCAAACTGACAAGGCATGGATTTGACAGATGGACCACTCAGTGGATAAGAAATTGGCTGGATGGCTGCACCGAGAGTTGTGGTCAATGGCTCCATGTCCAAATATTATTGGTAGATCTTAATACATTTTTTTGGGCTTTTTTTAGACAGAATACCACTGTCTTCTCTTGTACCCTATTTCCCTGTTTTATAAAATGAAGGATATTCAGATATTGTACAGTTTTTAAATAATACCAGGATATGTACTGGGATTCTTTCAGAAGGCACTGTATTCAAGGAGTTGGTGCTAGAATGCCCATAATAGCCTGTGCTGTACACTATTGTATTTTATGACAGAGATAACACTGCAACCTGTCAGAAAATTTATGGTTTTGTTCATTATGCAAGACATAAGACACCACTGTATTTGAGGGAGAAGCAACCTCTCCATGAACAGAATCTGTGAAATGTGTCATGGGAAAATCCATCCAGAGTTCATCTGATGCATGAATGTAGGGTGCCCAGCACCTGAAGGGATGCAAGATTTACTCACTTTCTGTATTTCTCTTTTCATTCTTTCTTATTAAAGCAGCTATTTTATTACACTGTTGTTGGGCCTTTTATATTGACATCCAAAAACCCTGCATGGTCTCTCTCTCTTCCCCCCAAAGCCACCCAGAGCAGAACAGGGCAGAATCCCTGTTTTACTGAAAGATATATATATTTTTTTAATTAATTTTTTTTTAGGCACACTTACAGCTCCATAAAAATCACTCTTCATCTCTTCATACACGGTCCTTACATAGCTATTCTATGTTTTTGTGCTCAGACCCAGCCTTTGAGCTTATGAGTAGCTAACAGAACATCTGAAAGCCTACTCTTTACCTTCAGTATTCATTTTCTATATTGGCTGAACGGTAATAGGTTGCACATATTTCAGTAAGCCTTGTCCTCTGTACTCCATGGAATTCTACAGCAGGCTATAACAGCAGTACAGATTCTTATCCCCTTTGGAGAGAAATGACTGCAAAAATCCATGTTATTTCTGTTACTAAACGAATAAGAAGGTACTACAATGGTATTCACAAATAAATTCTGTATCTTAATCTTTCTTATCACATTGGCAATAAATGTCATTACATTCACTTTTCTGTCTAAACAGCCAATGTCAAAGTTTCCAACTACGTCAACGAGTGTTCTTCCTGCTTACTGTTATTTTTTCCAAATACTTCAGGCATAACAGTTGGAAATAAAGTGTGTGTGTATATATATATTTGTGAGATTGACATTCAATTGGAGATTAAATGTAGCTCTTTTGCTTCCTTTTGGCAATGTAATTACATGTTCACATTATTATTAATCAGTACACAATACTATATATATATATATATCCAGAGAAAAAACAAGATTAAGGCAATAAGATCCACAGAAGAAAAACTTCCTGAGGTACAATTCCTTCTCTATCACATGCTTCAGTGGTGACTATCTGAGAAAACGCTGAGTATTATTATTATTATCTGTC